ATATATATAATTATAATTATATCTTCGTTCATTTAAAGAAAGAAACTAGCATGTCATATTGTGTACATGTTTTCTTTTCAAAATACAATTCAAAAGTAAACTAATACTCTAAAACTAATTGAATCTCAATAAAATCATAGTTTTGGTAAGTTAATAGAGAACTCTAAAAAAATACCTTGATTACCTTATATATTAGAGCAAAAATTTAAATAATTTTTTGTTTGCTAAAAAAAATTGAAATAGCTTGCGTGGGTGTGGGTGGCGTGGGGATGCGGAGGGAGGGGGGAGGACTTTTTCAGCGAAACAATAAAATATTTCCTCAGTAGCATCCCCTTCCACGTATGTAGTACATTCAACTACTAGCTAAGATCAATTATAAGAAACTTCATCTGAAAATAAGAAAATGCACTTGATGAGTTGGAAAATCATTACTCAAGGAAAGACAAAAGGAGGACTGGGATTACAAAAGAGCGAGGTCAGAAACAAATCTCTCTACACCTCCTTAGTATGGAGAGATTTCAAAAATCTCAAAACCCTTGTGTAACACACCGGAAATTCTATGACTTAAATTAGAGCCGCACCGTATGAATAATGACTTAAAAATAGTTAAACTGATGTTTCTAAACTTTAAGTAATGCAATTGACTTGGTTTGGAAGAGTAGAAGTCTAAACGTCAAGAAAACGACCACGACGTCCGGAAACTAGAGAAGAATGTGTTCTAGTGTGTCCTTAGGTTTTGGGCAGGTTTGGGAGTGTCGTATGATGGTATAATCTGGTGAAAAGGTTTAAAATAGGTAAATATATGCTCCTAGGGTCAAAATGTTCGAATACGACGCCCCGGGGACACCCTAAGGGGACCCGAGGAGGACCCCAACCTTAGCCAAGCAAGCTGCTAAGGCAGCTTGCAAATTGCACTTGGAGGGAATAGAGGCGCATCGCGCACTTGCTCCCCCAAGGAGAAAAAAGTCAATTCGCGACGCGGTCGTGTCGCGGACTCTACTGTCTCGAAATTTAATTCCAAATATCTTCAGGGAACAGCTCCGCGTCGCGGACTTGTTCCGCGACGAAAATGCAGAAATTCAGAAATCTATTTCACTTCATTAAAGAGTCCATTTAAGTGAGGGGTATTTAGGGTACTTTAGGGGACATGTATATAATGATTTTTTAAGTCAATTTACCTCACTTTTATCACTCAAACACAAAACCCCAAAGATCTAAACCTAAAGTTTCTCTTTCTCTCTTCTCAAAAACTCCATTGAAGAAGATTGGAACTTCAAGAAGAAGAACAACTCTCCAAGATTTCAACTCGAATTTTCGTGGTTAATTCATCTATAAGGTATCGTTCCTTATCACTCTTGGGATTCCTTTCCCCAAGAGGCCCCTTCAAGATGAATTTCAAAATATCCAATTTCT